GTGTTTTTATGTTGTAACCATGTTATTTGTTTCACTATTTTAAACTTATGATCAATTAATTGAGAATTGGCCAATTATTAACCAATACTGAAAAGCAATTACAGAACTACAACAGGTATACATGTTTTTCTGTTCAGTGCCATTAATGGGTTAAAAAGTCCTACTTGAGTTGTCTCAGGTCAAGGATTAAGAAGATTATCTACCAGAAAAATGTCTAATATCCTAATCTGGCCTTTCCATTCTTGTTCAAGACATTCTCTGCTTGAAGTTGAAGATAATATGATACAATTGGATATAATAAAGAAGTTATATCAAATCTACAGCATCCCTTTTCTTAGCTGCGGTTCTTCAGGCTTACAAACGTTGTTCAAGTTTTACATCATCCAACAAAAAAACGGAATGTTATTAAAAAGTTTTAAACACTTCAGTTTCCCAGAGGATTAATGTCACACTTTGAAGTTTACCTGAGTAGAAAGCACCTTCAGATGTGTACTTTGGCTAGTGAAGGACAACCTGTGATTACTGTTGCTCCGGTGCTGGATAACTAACATGGGGTCGTCCTTATCGTTGAGGTGTTGAAGTGGAATGAGCTGTAGTTCCTCCTTCCTGTTATTTGCTTTATTTCAATATATGAATGTGTACATTGTGACCTACAGAGTACACACTGTTCATGGTACAGCTGCATACACTAACCGTGGTCAAATATATCGCTGATAAGAGTTTGGTATACTTACTGAGAGGACACAATTACAAGCAGTTCTTTATGTTTAAAAGTCAAGGGTTCAAGTAGCAGTCAATTCACAGGGAGCGTCTGCCTCGATGATTTGACCTTGTTCGGTTCAGCACAGAGTTCTCAGCTTTGTAACTTTTGTTCCCAGAGACCCAACAAGATTCCTCTGTTTTTCTATCGCTCAAGGACGTCCTCTCCCCACAGATAGCACTGTGACAGGGATGAATAAAAAGATGCCTGAGGCTTTAAGTAAGTCCTGTTTGTCAGAAGAGAGACGGCATTGCTAGATCGGAGATGGGGTATGTCAGGAGATACAGAAACATGTTTAATTTAATATTTTTGAGAGAAAGGAATGAGCAAAAGAACGGTTGAAACATTCTCGGTTGCACATATTCAGAAACATTAATAAATAAACATTCAGTTTCTTAATCCTGGTGAAAATGCAGGAACAGTGTTATTACCTTGAGTATTTTGATGTATTTTCCACACATTTCATATTACTGCTCGCCTCCATCACACCTCTCTCATCTGTGTTGGTAGATCAATATAAAGAGGATGAGGAAGCAGAAGTGAATACATTAAAGCAGAAACATGTCTTTTTCCCAACTGAGAACCAAACAAAGATCTCTGACACATTACTTTTTTTTGCTAGCTATTAAAACCTGGAGTAAAGTTGGCTAGTCATCTAAAATCACATTTGATTGGACATTTAAATGTAACCAGTCAAGAGTTCAACGCTTTGTAGGAAGAGATACGGACATGAATACATTTACATATTTGTGAATATATGGCATAAAGTGGTGGAATGTAAATGTGTACATTTAAAATGTTCAAGTACAATTTTGAGGTACTTTTACTTCAGCTCAGTATTCATATTTTCTGTGACTTTTAACAATTACTCCATTACATTATGGAAGCAAATATTATGCCTTTACTCCACTACATCTGAAAAAATGAGTTGCTTTATAGATTCAGACAAAGAGCTAATGACAAATATAAATAAAATATTACATAATACTAAAATTAGCCCCACAATTGCTGGCTGTTATAGAACCATTAATGCATCAATAGTCTTGATCCATACTTAATCCTTATATATGATTTTGAAATGAGTTCTTACAATAAGTACTTTAACTTGCGGTACTATAAGTGTATTTTGATACCAATTCTGACTTTTGCTTGAGTAAGGTTTTAAATGCAGGATTGTTACTTTCAACCTGTATTGGTGCTGTCACTTGAATAAAAGATCTGAGTACTTGCATCACTGCTGGCATAAACCAAAAACGATAGATTGAAACAGAGACACAGGATTATAACTTGGAAAGTGTCTTGCAATAGTTTCACAGACAGACTCAGCAGACTATTTAAAGGAGCAGTGTCGATGTCAAAGCTGGACCAAAGAATTTCTCTTACACCGCAATGTCACACGAGTGCACGGTAAGAGAGAGTGTGAGGAAATCGGCCGCATGCCAACAGTATTTTTGTATTGAACAATCATGTTTTTGTCTCCAAAAACTATCTATAGTAAACTAAATACATTCAAGTACATGTGATTATTGATGGCCATGCCTATACCCTCTAGAAGTTATTGATTTTGTTAGTTTTTTTAACATAGTGCTGGCTTTTATCATAAGCAGCTAATCACAATTTACAAAGTAATTTGACATGTTAAAGATATGTATGCTCATTGATATCTGATACTTTTATATATATTTTTATTTTTTTCTCTCTTTTAGGTGTAGTTTTTAGATAAGCTTGTAGTTTGGTTCTACCTAACCTGCACATGAATTTTGTTTTTATTCACTTTTCCTCAGTTTGACCTTCCTTTAAAGTGGACCTATCATGCAAAATGCACTTTTGTACGTCTTTTATACATGAATATGTGTCCCCGGTGTTCCAGGGAACTCACCAAGTGTCAGAAAATACAACCCTCTCTCTTTTCCTCCGTACCCAAATCTTCTAAAAACGGGGCTACAACGAGCGGATACAGATTCCATTCGAGTTGACGTCAGCCCGGAATAGTGTTGTTCACACGAGACGTGTACATTCACACGAGACCACTTGAAAGTGCTGGAGACGCTGTAGTACATATGCCAGGCCTGTAGGTGGCGCTGTAGTCTGCCACAAAAGCAGCGAAGAAGAATTCCCTTGCATGGTTGCCATGGTTGCCCTTCTGTTTATTCTCCGCTGTGGCTCTTTCTTTTTCTCCCTCCCCGAGGCAAGCGTTTGCTCCTGCTGTAATTCTCTCCGGTCCACCAGCAGATGACAAACACCCACCTCTCCGCCTCTTCCAAGGAACGAGGGGACCGTGCGGCAGTTTCAGTTCAATTTTTTTTCCGCCGGTCAACATGTCCGTTAAAGGTTAAATCTTCCGGACAAAATTAGAAAAGTGCCGGTCAAAGGTCTTCTTTGTTATTTATTGAGCTTTAAAACAAATGAATAACGACTCTATATAATCATATAAGAATAAAACACGGAGGACGGAGCCTCTCTTTTCCTCCCCCTCTTCTGAGAGCCCAGCAGCTAATCCCCCTCTCCTGCAGGGGGGCGTGGTCAGCTGCAGCTCATTTGCATTAAAGCTACGTCACAGAATCAGCCCTTGCAAAGACAGGGCTGGAATAGAGCAAATAGAGCGAAATGAGGCGTGGCTAAAATGCATGATCTGTTTGGTATTTTGAAAATAAAACTTCACATGTTTTATATAGATATGGCCCTACAATATATTATTCAAATATAGCATGATAGTCCACTTTAAAGAAAAGAATAAGACAGAAAAGTTAAAAGGCCTGCAGAAAGACGGACTTACTGTGGTAGTACAAACAGATAGATAAAGCAATCAGGGGGAAAATTCCCACGGACACAGTTTTGCTTTTGAAGCTAAAATATAATTTGTCGCCAATCTCGTCGTTGCAGCAAATGAGAAAAAGAGTTACTGTTTAGTGTTAGTCAGTGTCTACTGTTGATCATGATGATAAGATGTAATGGAAAGTGTTTCCAACAAACTTGACCTTTATCTTAATGAGCCGAGACAGTAGAGGTCTCGATGAGTAAATCATCGTCCCTCTACACGTCCTGTGGTACAAACAGCTTGCTCTATAAGCTGAGAGGCCCCCTGTTGTCTGTGCAGGCTCCTGTGAAGTAGAGGAGGCCTGGGAATGTTCTATCTAATCTGCTTTGAGATGTATTCTTGCTGGGAGCCCCCCAGAGCCAATCTCTGCCTCAGGCGAGGAAAAGCTCATCCGTGCAGCTTCAACACAGAAACACGAGCGCCTATACAAACATCAGGCGCAGCTGGTGTCAGGTTTTTGTTGTAACAGAGAGCGAAAGGGTCTCTTTTCAATTCCTACTTCTCTGTTTCTCTATACTTTTGACATCATCATATCATGTGTAACGCCTCTCAAGTCTTCAAGGACTGACAAACTGCATCACACTTATAATAATGATCTAACAAGTTTAGACATTTCAATCTTTGTCCAGGAAATGTGTTAGTGTATGACGGTAAATGGCTTGCATTCATTTAGTGCTTTTCCAGTCTTTGCAACCCCTCAAAGGTCTTTTATATATATATATATTTCTTCATTCACACATTCATACAGAGGAGCCTTCCGCTCAGCCGCTGAGAGAAGTTTGTGAATGTTTTGGTCACTAAGTTTATGCTACTGTTGCACAGGTCAGACGCAGCATGGCACAACTGTGTAAGTTTGAGAGTTTCACACAGTGTTATCACCCTTTGCTGGTCACTTCGTATCTGTGACAACGTGTTTCGTAAAAGGGGTTGCTCGTAATGACTGGAGGTTTTAGCGCTCTGGAGCATTTAGCTCTTTCAGCTCATTGTTATGGGTTAACAAAGGTCAATTTGACTTTTTGTTCCACTATTCCCACTCTCACCAACCTTGTTTGCAGCCGACAGCTGTTCTTGGCTGAGGAACTTTGATAAAACTATTGTAAGCTATCTGCTCTGCCACAAACTGATTTATCTGCACTGGTAAAGATAGTGGAGAATTTACCCGCTGAAAAGCCAGATATTTTCCCCAGGTTCTCCTGAAAAGGAAATCATAGCTAAAAGATAAATACAATTGGACCTCCTTCAATAGACGGCTGAAAACATGACTTCAATAAATGTTGGACCAATTAAAGTTTGCTTATATGAGCTATCATTTCCATAATGTGGTTGCAACTTAAAAAACAATGTTGAAAGCTTCTAATATAAAGCACTTTATTATAAAAATTGAACGTGCAGTGAATAACACATTTGTCTTTCCTTCTACAGAGGATCCATCCAGCGGGAGGTCCAAGAATGGATATGTTTTCCAAGAGATGGGTGCGTAGCAGTAATAGATATCTGGATTGCTTTTTTCTCAGCATGGTTCCTGTTCTGATATGCTCTACATTATTCAGGATATGAGGCAGAATAATGTAGATTTTCACATGGAAATATGCTAATGCTAATATTCCTCCCTGCTCACTGATGACCCATCCCTCATGCTAGTGAGCACAACGCGTGTGTTGAGGTTAATTAATGGGTAAATAATGAGGCAGATCATCTGTGGGTCGATGACGGGAAGCGGGAATAATTATAGCTCAAGCGTAGCTCTTGAAGGGTTAAGGTTAATTCACCAATTCTGTAGCTGTTCCTTTCCCCCCTCATAAAAAGTGGCGATGGAGATGCCATATTTATCTTCTATACAATTAAGGAATTTATGAGCGGCTGCTATTGTTAAAGTACTGTGTGTCTGATGTAAGGGGAATGTTTTTATTGGGTCTCGCTTGTCAACAGATGGCGAGTGGTGGGAGGACAAAATAAATTGTCCCTTACTGGAGACACTGTGGCTGGAGCTGCATCTTAAACTTAACACAGAGCAGTTTTATCTCACTGTTATGTATAAAATGGCCCTCATTATTCACATATCACATCATTATTATTACTTTAATTTCTTATGTTTATATATTGTATTTGATCGTTTATTGCACATGTTAAAATCCTTTGTTTATTTAATATATTTTATTTTCTTCTTCTATGCATTTTTAAATGGAACAATTGTTACTAAAACCAATTCTCCCCTGGGATTATTAAATTATTTCTGATTGTGATTTCTCAATTGTCAAGTCAATTAAAAAGTACTGCAGCAAAAAAACTAAGTCTGACACCGAATCCCTCAGTTTTGTTCAAATTAAAGTTTTTATGTAACTTTTAAACTGAGATTTATTGACTGTCACTCCTTATTTGTATATTCACAGAGCTGAAGGATGGCGAACAGAAGGATTGTGAGGATGATCTCAAGGACCACATCTATGACAGCCAGGTCCAGATCAGTGCGTCAGGTAATAATCATTCCACTATAACATGTTCAGCCTGTGGTGTGATTTGTTCTAAGATGATACATTAGAGAGAAGAGCCATTATTTACCGATACACATTAATAAGCTGATGTAAGTGGCGCTGTCTTTCGTGACTTCTATCATCTGAGGATAATTTGCCGCCTCTGCAATTAGGGAAATCATGTGTGCTAGCGAGTCATGCACATGCGGTTGCTAGATGTATTAGTTGGTTCCAAGAATAACTTTAGAAATGTGAAAGAACCATTCGGTTGCTGGAGGCTGAGACAGTGTGTACAATTATATATTCTTTATGTGATTTTTATATGCAGATCCTGACCGTCCTGGCTTTGGGCTTTTGAACACGACAAGAAAAGTAAGTTTTTCTTGTCAGCCTCTCTGTACCTCATCACAAACATGAACTTTGTGTAAAATACTGGAAAAAACTGCATTTTACATTTTCTATTACACTTCTCGCTTTTCAACTGTTCCATTTTAACGCTATAATACTCATTTTCTCGTGCATGCTTCATATTAAATAAGAACTGTAGATAGAATATTCTGCACTGTTATTATATTCTGTTTCTATTATATTCTATTTTATTTACTTGTACTTTTTTATCTGTGTTATTGTGTTGCACTGTTGGAAGAGCCTGTGACCTAAGATTTTCATTGTCATGACTACACTGTAGCTATGCACACATGCCAATTAAAGCCTTGAGGTGAATCTGAAAGCAGTAAGCTGGGAGGAAATGTGTGGATTAACTTGCCTTTGGGGGGGATATACAGTCAGCAAAAGGAACATTACACCTGTTTGCACTTTGACATTAAGCTAATTTCCTTTTGTTCTTGGCTCACACTAGTATGTGAAGCCGATGAACTTCCATGAGGAAGTGCGCGCCCACAGAGACCTGGACAGCTTCCTGGCGCAGGCGAGCATCCTATTGGACGAGAAAGCTGCCACTCTGGACGAGGTCCTGAGGCGGATGTTAACTCACGTGGTGGAGGACGGCCACGGGGACTGCGATGTGGACGAGGTCATGAACTTGCTGTTCACGGACACAACAGGGGAAGAATTGAATAGTGAGCTAAATATATCAGGGGCACTTTGAGCAGTGGTGGAATGTAACTAAGTACATTTGCTTACGTACTTATATCGTTGTACAATTTGGAAGACCTGTACTTAACCTGAATACTTCAGTTGTTTGCACCTTTATGCAACTGAAATCTAACAATTAATATATACGTTTTTTAAATTAGCCCCTCCAATGAAGAGATGAGCACAATAACGCATCTTTATAAACACTTGTAATTCAGCTGTATGACATATTGATCTTTAGGAGGCCATTCAGCAACATGGTTACTTTTACTTTGGTTCTCTAAGTTTTCTACATTTAATTGGGAAATAATTTGAATGCAATACTTTCATTTGTACTTGAGTGGTTCCCTGTTCTTGTATTGATACTTTTACTTAAGTAAAAGTTGTGAATACTTCAGTAATTACCGAGCGTAGTGTGTGTTTTCTTTAAACGATGCTTGTAATATCAACTTGTTTTGGCGGTTCAGTTAATTGTATTATGCTCCCACAGTTCACCTCCTGTCAGAGACCCTTCATGGTGTGATGGCTACTTCCACCGGCATTCGCTACCAGCAGTCCTGGCTTTGTATTCTGTGAGTTCTTCCACTATAATATTTTAGAGAATGTTTGACTTCTAGCATCAGTTCAGTAGAGTTCATTTGACTCTACAGTGACAACAAACATAAAACCATTTCATTGGAAAAGCAATGTTCTGTTGGCTTAAACCCACCGAACTGGGGTCTAATTTACACCTGCCAATACAGAATGCTGCACAGTCAATCATTTATACACCACTGATCACACAAATACATTTCCCATTGATTCAGCTCCAATGTGAGGAGCCTGCAGAGGCGCCATGTCTGCATCACCCGCCTGGACAGGCCACAGAACTGGGGAGCGAACTGCCGCGAGGCGCGCTACGTCATCCTCATCCTGGCCCCCCCACGGACGGTAGGGAGAATTATCAGTTCTGCTATTTAACATTAATGATATAATGGAGGAAAGATCAGGAATGTCCCCCTTGTAGCATCTTAAAAGTGTATAGGCGCAGGTTTTTCTAGCCTTTCCTTTTAGTAACCTTTTCATCTTTGCATTTTGAACTGTTAATCAACAAGCAACTTCAACATGTCCCTTAGGTTGTGGGAAAACAACCATTTTTCATAATTTTTCTAAGGCATTTTATTTACCAATTACAGAGGAACTAATAACAATTGATTTTGTATTTGCCACCTTAATCAGGTGCATTGGCAACAAAACAACATTTGAATGTAGTCATTTTTGAGGTTTAGAACTGGCTGATGTCCTTCGTTGTTGCTTTATCCTCACTCTTTTTTTATGTGATACAAAGTAAAAAAATAGGCCCCACATGCTTGAAAATGTTTTCTCTCTCTGTGATATTATGAACAATTGAAACTGTGTAGAAGTTGTTGTTTAAAGCCAAATTAAAAGAATGTCTCATACCATTCTTCTCCAGAAAAGCACCAAGTCGGCCGTGGAACTCGGTAGAACATTTGCCACGATGTTCTCGGACATTTCCTTCAGACAGAAGCTTCTGGAGGCCAAGACGGAGGAGGAGTTCAAAGAGGAGCTGGTGCACCACAGAGAGCAGCTCTCCATCGGCTCTGAGAAGACGATCGTAACGGAAGTGGAGGACTCAGATCCACGGAAAGGGAAACCACTTGAGGTGTGAAAGGATAGCAAATAGGAGATGTAAAACACAATCTGTTATCAGTGCAGAGTGGCCCTTTCACTGTTGTATAACTGCAAAGCCAATATACAACGATACTTAACTCTACAAACAAAGGAGTTGTACTTGTAAAACCAACACTTATGTTCTCTACCAACTGTTAGCTCTCCACATGTGGGAACCACCCGTGTGTTCTCCCTCCATCCGGGCACATAAAGATGTGAGGCCGTAAAGTAAAGTAGTTGAGCCAGATTATCTGATTATCCAGTTTCCACGCTCCATCAGCCAGGCCCGAGGAGCGAGCAGCTGGGCAACAAACTGAGAGCGCTGCCAGGGCTGCCATGGCTCTGGCAGCAGAATGTGGCTCCACGTAATGATAAAGGACTTCATCAGGCGGAGAAGAGGGAACACCCAGATACTGCCTAGAGAGAAAGCATGTATTTGGGTTGTAAAAGAGCAGAGTTAACAACAGGTTGTGGCTGCACCTGATGTCCTGAATGCTTTAATAACAGAATTTAAATGTAGGGTTGTTGCTGCCAAACCAACCTTTTAACCTGTTCTACAATTACAGAGTTGCATAATACAAAAACAAGCAATGATGGACCCTTAGATGTGTCATTATGTCCAATTTTATAATGGATGCGAGTTAAATTTCTCCACAAAAATGTATTAAACATTTTTTTTATTACGCTTATTCAAAATACCTTTTACAAAACCAGCAAATTATTGAAAATTAATGTTATTCAAAAGGAATGTCCCAGTCAGAGGAGTCTTTCAACATAAAGTCGTCTGAAGCACAGGAGGTTGCTCAGGTCATCCATTCAGTTCAATAGGAACACTGCGGCAGCACAGCAAGGCCAAACAAATACATGCAAATGCACCGTCCTCAGTACTGGAGGATGAACTCAAATCCCTCCTTGAGTCAAAGTAGGCTACTACTCCTATAAATACTCTGTTGGAAGTAAAACTTCAGCATTTGCAAAGTAAAAGTAGTTAGGTATAATCAGGAAAGATTCACAATAATTTATGACATGTCATACTTAATACATATATACTATATAAATAATATGTGCTATATAAATAAAATAAAAATATATATAAAAACATGCAGAATAACGTCAAATTTAAGAAGCGTGAAACAAGAATTAGAAATTAATTAACACTCAAAATAAGTGACAGATAATTTCAGCTGTATATTTTCGTATGTTTATAAATGTACAATAGCTGTCAGATAATTGTAACGCCTGAGTAAATATACTTAGTGACTTTCTACTGCTAACACTAAGCCTGTTATATCACTTTTTGTATTTCTACTGTTTACATCGCAAATGTCTACCCAAAGTTACATTGATTTCCATCTTAATAACTTTCTAGAAATGTAAAACATGTTCTGAACATATCAAAGATCACTGTGCACTGTGTTTGCAACTGATACGCTTGAAACTGAGTAAACTAAAGTATTTAGTTCACACTTGTCTACATGTTTCCAATTTAGTGCCAATTTACCAACACCGTTTTGAAGGATTAAGGAATATCAGGATTACAAGCCATAACACATAGTTGTGCTTTCAGTATTTTAATACTGATTTCATTCCACACCTATACGTCCCAATAGTCCCCTTCAGAGGGCTCTCTATGTAATGAACATGAGTTACAGCATCTGAATAATTACTGGAGTGTTAAGTCTGAATGAATAAATCCTGTCTCTTTCTCCACAGTTCAAAGAATTCCTTAAATTCGGTAAAGGTGTTTTTGATGACCTCCGGCGCAGACTCCCTCTCTACCCGTCAGACTTCACAGATGGTATTAATCCTTTCTTGAAACACTGCCTTCTAAGAACAAATCTATTTGACTTAATTGCCTCGGCTGCAAAATCATAAAATGCCTTATTTAAAAGCACATTGAAGATAACTCGAGGTTTCGGCTGTTATATCTTTCATAACCCTTTAAATAATCCATCAAGGAATAACTGGGAAGGACCGCTGCCTGCTGAAGTACACCACCACTGCCATCTTCCTCTACATCGCCATTCTCCTGCCTGCTATCGCCTTTGGATCATTAAATGACGAAAGCACAAGAGGAGAGATAGGTATGCACCCTTGTCTTTATCTGCAACATTGTTTAATGTATGGCATCCAAAAGTACTTAAGTCCGTTTTCTTGACAGATGTTCAGAAGACCATTGTTGGGCAGAGCATTGGAGGAGTGATCTACTCTCTGTTCGCCGGCTCACCTCTCGTCATTCCACTGACCACTGCACCCCTGGCCATCTTCATAAGCGGTGTGTATGTTGTATTACTATTTAAAGGTCACCTAGTATGCAAAATCCACTTTTTCCTGTATTTTATACATCAACATGTGTTAAAGTGTGTAAAGACATTCTGAAAGTTTAAGGAAAAAAGATTCTCTCTCTTTTTGTCCTGATCCATTTCTATAAAAACCTGTCTGAAAATGAGCTGATCAGATTTTGGCCACTTTATGATGTCATAACGATTTTTTGGCTTGTGTAACTATTAGCCAATCAGCAACCAATGTAACACCCCCCACCGCACCCCATCTTATCACCTGAATCTCCTCCTAGAGCACCATTGTGGTCTTTTTAACTAAATATCTCTCAGAGGGGCGTGGGGAGGGGCTCCTTATTTTCATCTAAAGTAACAGACAGAGAATCAGCACTGGAAACAGGGCTGAAACAGAGGGGATTATGGGATGCTACAATGGGTGATCTGTTTGGTGTTTGGAACCAAACACTTCAGAGACATGTTTTGTATATATCTGAGAGCTATAATATATTGATGAAAAATAGTATAATAGGGGACCTTTAAGTAATAAGAGGCTGCATCTTCTCCAATTTCTCTGGCACAAGCACAAATCTGTAGGAAGTTTCAACATGGGTCAAACCATTATGTTTCCTTTCACTGTTTTCAGTCTCTCAGGGTTTATTTAGATATATTTAATTTCATTCTAGGCAAAAATGTACTCAAAATAGTATGATTAGAAAATGCATGTACCTCAAAAACCTCAAGGAGGAGCGAATTGAATGTCAAAGATATGCACAACAGTACGCAGTGTATACATGTTCTTCATACTTTGATGGATACAATGTTGGCGTTTTTTAATTAATCTTTATCAGGAGTCCTGAATTTGACTATTTATTAAAGGGTTAAATGTACTGGGATCTAGACATTTCAAAGTTGTACTGTTTAGATGCCTAGAGTATGTTGTAACATATTTCAGGCCTAAGGCAAATCTGAACCAAATGTTGTTGCATTTAATACTGAACATAGTCTTTGGCACAAATGGATTAATCAGGTGGATAATATGTAGGGCTTTAACTTTGAAAAAACAACAGATAAACTCCAACAAAGTATTATAATTACCAACAAATAGCCATTTTACCAGACAGTTGCTGTGAAAACATTATTTTTTAATATTGTGATTGACATATTTTTGTATCCATATGTATGTTTTTCAGTAATCAGGGGAATCTGCGATGACTATGACCTTGACTTTAAAGCTTTCTACGCCTGCATTGGTTTATGGAACAGCCTGTTCCTCATCCTCGGAGGCTTATTCAATGTCAGCCTTTTTATGAAACTCTTCAAACGGTGAGTACACAAAAACAAATATATTTCAATATGCCATATCAGACAGATAGGAGAAGACGCATCCGTTATGACTTGTTTTCAGACATAATTATACATTTGGTTTAATATGCACCCTCGCTATCTGGGCTATTATTTCGCCTTGAGCGAACTGTTATGTCTGTGTTTGTATTAATAACACAAATCTGTTTAAACATGAATGATCATGCAATGCTTTTTTAGAACACTTTCTTTTACATGCTCTATCTTTCAGCTCAACAGAAGAAGTCATTGCATTGTTTATCTCAATTGCTTTTGTTGGGGATGCAGTGAAAGGCACCGTTAAAAGTAAGTCAAGACAAGGTTAGACTACATTAAACATGTTTTGAATGTTTTTGCAGCAGAGCTATCTCCCCACACCGCAGGGGGGATGACCAAACGTCCCTCATATCGTTTGTTGTAGGTAATGAAGCCCAGCAAATATTCAGATCCATCACAGAGTCTTTAGAGGAAAAGCAAGCATAAAATCAAACAGGCTCCCAACCCTGTAATGTAAATATAATGTAGTCTGTCACACAGCTTCTGTTTCTATCAGTTTTATACAAGGGTTTGTCACAAGACTGGAAATAAATGCATTAGATGTATTCTATTCTTTTAAGCTTCAGGCTGTTGTAGCTGCTAGACTGCATCAAACCGAGCAAAGCTTCAATTTAGAGCAGTGCTTGAATGCCTGTAAATATACTTATAATTAATACATAGAAGGTACATAATATCAATAAGGTAGTAGAATATCTTATAGACACTATCTAGCCGAGATCTAAGGACTTCTTAAATGTGTCAGTTTCCAAGTACAGTTTTATTTTGTACAGCAACATGTTCCTGCCATCATGGCAAAACATGTTTTTAACAAGGAACTTCTTAATTTTTTACAAGATCCCAAATAACAAACTGAATAATATCAATTTTACAGGGAACTTGTTCTTGTAGTAACACCTGTACCTTACAGTGTACTTTAGTTGTTAAAACACACTTGATACATAAAATGACATTAAAAAGATCTGGTAAAAACAAGAGCAAGGCTCGTAGCAATCCCTTTACGTTAAGATCTGAATTCTTTTTCAACAAGAAGCAACATTTAAATTCACGTGAAATGGTTTCTCTAAAAATCAGAAAGGTGACCCTCTATAACAAGAAGCTTGTCCTCTCTCTTCTTCCCCTTCACTAGTTTTTAACCACTTCTACCATGCGCCCACACTGGCGTCCACAAACACCACGTTCGTGCTCCAGCAGATCACTGAGATTCTAGAGAAGGCCAACAACCAGACGGGGAAAACGCTGGCGTCTCCGAATGGGACCGTGTCGCAGATGGGACACGCAGAAGAGCATACGTTAGTGTTCCTGCCCGAGTCTCTGGTGCTGACCACCAGAGAGAGACCCGTACTCTGTCTGCTGCTCATGCTGGGCACTCTGTGGCTGGGATACGCCCTCTACCTCGTCAAGAGGAGGTACGCTCCCTTTCTGAACTACTTATTCAATATATTCAATATACATACTGCAAGAAGTGCGACAATAACTTGAACAACACCCTACAATACCACAAAGTAAAATGTCCTCGTTTTTTAAATATTAGTTCAAGTAAAGACTTAAACATTATAAGCATCTAGTGACGTGACTGTGTCTGTTGTCTTTACGTATGCGGCTCAAAGCCACATCATTTGTATGGTGGAGATAGTAACGTTTATAAAGATACCAAAGTGTAATGCTGGGTAAATGTGTTTTAATACCATGAAAAACAAATAGAGAACATACTGTATGTGATATTGTTGTCAGCATGACAGTTCTGTTGGGCAGCTAACACAATAAGCATTTCCCTTTTAAATGTTGAGTAAGCATTGGTGTTAAGTATGTTCACTCTAGTACTGTACTTACGTAAAATGTTTTCCGTCCACTTAATGTGACTAATAATGACTTTTCTTCACCTTTAAGAATAAAACGTGTGCTTTGTACCCCACTGCATGTATCTTACAGCTGTAGTAACTTCTTAATACTTAATATGTTACTCATTAATTTAATTTAATGAAGAAAGCACTGTTTTAAATGCAGTTCTTACATACTGTATGTACTGAAGTATATTTTACATTGTTGTTTTGCTAGTTTTATATAAATGAAGGATCACAACTTTAAATATGACATAAATGAAAGTAATTGTACTTGTGTATATCCCTTAGGATCATGTTATTAGTGACTTTCTACCTCTGTGAACAGTAGTTGCATATGTCCTCACATAACTGGTAAGAAGTTGGTGGAAAGATGTGAAAAAGATGGAAGATTTCCCAGGAGTCAGGCAGGGTGTATCAAATTATCCGCAATGATTTCCACCCTTCGGGTGTAGTAATGTAATACATGAGGTAGATAAATGTATGTATTTCAATGTCTCCTGGGGTATCTCCATAACTTTTTACCACCCGGCATGAATTATTTTGAGCTAAGAGAGTAACTAGTGTCATCACTGTAGTAACATTTGTAGAAATGATTACATCAGAGTTGCACAATGTTGAAATATCTTCTTTATCTCCCACAGTCCGTATCTGAATGGCAGAGTCAGAGAGGTGGTGTCTGACTGCGCTCTGCCTATCTCTGTGTTAGTGTGCTCCTTTATTGGCTCCTACCTTTTCCTCGACATACAGCGTGAGTAAAGATCTCATATAAAAGAACTGATTGAAGAGTACCCTCGAGACTTAAAGTCACAACCTTGGCACAGAACACATTTCACTGTTCGTAAATCCTCGGTTGGAGGTAGAGAAAAGGGATGTATTTGCTTTCAGGGAGCTTTCAACTCAGCGTGGCTCCTGAATCAATGTGGGTTAAAGACGCGGGGTTGAACGTTGCTAATAACACAAGCAGAGAAGTTAAATATGAAGACATTTCTTTATACAATGTTATCATCTTTTCCCTTGCAAGTGTGATGTCTCTGTTTGAGATGTGTATACTCAATGTTATGCTCTCTGTGCTATTAGTTCCTAGGTTCAATGTCCACGATGGCCCCATCTTCAACTTCCCTAATTTTGATAAGCTGTCAGGACTGAATACACTGTGCGCGGTCGGGCTGGGTTTCCTCCTCGCTTTGCTCATCTTCATCGACCAGAACATCGTCATCTCACTCACACATGTGCCTGAACACAAGTAAGACTTCGATTTTAGGTGTACTTGCCAAACCAAGGCTATAAATGTAACATTACTCTAGTTTTTAAAGTGTCCAAATCTCATAGACTGCTCCTCTGCCATCTACAGACTAAAGAGGCTATATTGTTCTGCTGCTGTGTTGCATTGACAAACCACTTGACACCCGTGTGTTACCAGGTTGCTAAAAGGCACGGCGTTCCACTGGGACTTGGTGCTGACGGGCTGCATCAACATCCTCATGTCCTGTTTGGGGTTGCCATGGATGCACGCTGCCTTCCCACATTCCTCCCTACACGCCCGTCAGCTGGCCAAAACAGAACAGCACGTAGAGAACGGACACGTCTACACAACGTGAGTAAAGTTAAAATGAAGAAGAAATCAGAGTGGGGCTTTCAAAGATTGAAAACACCAGCAGCGGATCTTAACCCTTTTATCCGAGTGTTTGGAGGCTTTGTAACAATGTTTTTGATTTGCATACTGACAATAATATCTTCATTGTCCCTTAAAGTAGAGATACTCTATTTTGAAAAAAACTATGATCTATTTATCTAATTCTGAGTTTTCTTGGTCAAATATCTAAATAAAAAACATTATTTTGTATATATATTATTATTTTAAAAGTACATTTTATTTTAAATATATAAATATTGATCCTGATTTGAACATTATTTTAGTCATATACTGCAAGTGTATCGGATAGTTTTTGATATTTCCATTTCGCTTGACGATTTCTGAGGTAAATCATTTTCATTAAGCTGGGATGATAAAAGGGATAAGAAAGTAAAAGTAGGACTTACTTACTATTAATCTTAATATACTAGTTTTTCCATGTTGTTAAGGGCCCCCTAAATGAAGAACACTCTTTGATTGACAATCATGTCTTCCACATAGATGTAAATTGCAGTGGCGAACCGTGTCTATCACAACTGGACCTTCTGTAGACACCCCCCCCCCCCCCCCCCCTCTCGTCTGTGGTACACTTCAAATTACCCGTATTTGTCCTCCCCTTTTTCTCTAGTTGGTTAAGTGTGGTGTCACAGGAACGACGGAGTGGACAAGGAAATCGTCGTCCCCGGTGACGCCAGAGGTGGTAGACCGAAGGGTTAGTTCGCTGCACCGACGGCTAACTCTCGCTTCTCCGGCATTCTCTGTCACGAACCGCTGAGGTGACGTCTCGCCCATACCCGTCGGTACTTCCGGTCTGTCCGGCTAGTCCTACAACGGTGGTACGCTAAGTCTGCTCAGAGGAAGTGTGAGTGATATGACAACCTGTGTTCGGTCCTCTTTATGAAAATTTATAGGTCCTATTTGTGGAAGAACAGACTAATCTCTTTCTGTATTCATGATTGTTAAATGTCGACCCGTGTTGGCAGTCTCCCGGGAAGTTCGGCATAAGTCTCTTGATGGGACATTGTGAGTCTATTTTTGTGTTGTTTAGCTAAATTAATACTATTTATTTTACAAATATTTACTTATTTACTGTTAGCGATTGACACAAACACTAGACATTTAAAGTCCACGAATGCAACTAAACGAAACAGGAAGAGCCTGGT